TAAGAAGAAGGGTCTAGGCCCGAAACGTCAGCTTTCCTGCTCCTCTGATGCTGCTTGGCCTGTTGTGTTCATCCAGCTCTACACCTTGTTATCGCTTTATACAGAGATTGTTGTAGTTTTGGGAACGGGCCCTCCAGCCCAAGTTGAATTGGTCTGTTACATTTTCAGTACCACACCCCCTCTTACACACCCCCTGAATGCCATTCCCCTGGAGTCCCCAACATGGTGGCTCAATAGTTAGTACTGCTACCTCACAGTGCCAGGGACCCGGGATTCAATCCCAGCCTTGTGTCACCATGTGGAGTTGTGCATTGTTCCAGTTGCGTGGGTTTCCTCAGGGTGCTCCGGTTTCCTCCCACAGTCCAAAAATATGCAGGTTAGGTGGATTGGCCATGCTAAATTGCCCAGGGATATACAGGTTAGGTGGATTAACCATGGGAAATGCAAGGTTACAGGGATAGGATCGGGTGAGGAGGGGGGGGTGTCTGAGTGAGGTGTTATTCAGAGGGTCAGTGTTGACTTGACGGGCCAAATGGCCTGCTTCCACACTATACAGATTCTATGATGTATAGGCATAAAGTAGCTTTGTACAGTAAGATGTAATCCCCAGTGGAGTTTCCCAGTCCTGGTAATGTAACAACAGCCAACAGCTCTGATAATAGCATTTGGGTCACTCGTAAGAAACAATTTCTGCTCTGTCATAGTTACACCTGTAGTTATCCGGTCTCAATTGTGGTACAATTCTTATAATACTTGTATCACTTTTGTGTCAGCTATGTCCCAGGGATAGCACTTATGCCTCTGACCCAGAATGTTCTGGGTTCAAGTTTCACTTTAGGTGTTGAGCATAAAAGTCAAGATTGGTATTCTAGTGCAGTCCTGAGGGAGTACTGCACTGTTAGAGATGCTGTCTTTTGGATGAGATAATGAACCAGATATGCTCTCTCAGTCGATGTATAAGATCCCATGGTAATATTTTGAAGAAGAGGAGGGGAGTTAGCTCGGGCCCCAGCCATTACTCATCTCTCAATCAATATCACAAAAACAGATGAATTGAATTAACTTTATTGTCACATGTACTTACATGAGTAAAGTGAAAAGTTTACAAGTCACCACTTACAGCGCCACATTAGGTAGAAAGGTACCCAGAATCTTGAGTACCAGTTCTTAGGAAGAAAAATAGAAAAATGAAGAAATGAAAAGTCCAGCATTACAGACCTACAAAAGTACAAAATCATAGTAATAAATTAGAAAAGTAAAGGAACAAGAAGTTCATAATGAGAGTCCTTTCATGATAATATAAATAAAGAAATAAAAAAGAAATGTAAAAGGAGAGAACTTAAGACCGAGTCCACTTAGTCCATTTCATGGCACTGGGCTCGAGGACCCGAACCCGCCCATTGGAATCCGAAGCCAGACCCACCACAATGCCAAAGAAAACACAGTGTGGAGTCACAGATTGACTGAAGCTGCCACAGTGAGACACGGATGGATGCTGACGAAAACAGTCATCGAAGTCGCCAAGAGGAGTCCCAGGCCACGGCCAAACCCACCTAAAGGAATTCCAGGCCGGACCTGACCAACCATGCTGCAGTGAAGACCGTGCCACCAGTCAATAACACATTGCAGCTTCTGACAAAAGGTCACTGGAATCGAAACATTCACAGTCTTTCTCTCTCCCTGAGGCTGCCTGACCTGCTGGGTTTCTCCAGCAATTTCTGTTTGCTACACATTGCAGTGTGCTGTGCACAAATCATGCTTATTACGTTTTGAAAATTCTCAATTGGCTAAAAAGCGCATAAAGACATTCAGTGATCATGAAAGCTGATTAATAGATATAAGCCTTTCTTTAGGTTGAGAAAAATCACTGAAAGAATTTCACTTAAGGGAGTGCAGTGAACATAACTGGGGAGATGGGAAGGGAAGAACCTCAATAGTATTTGCAGCTATAAAAGAGCTGATTTCTTGTATGTTTTCCAACAATTTTTAGATATCATTTTTCCCCCATTGTGTTGGCTGGAGAGATAGATTCCCCCCATAAAAAACCCCTCTTGAAGCTTCACCCACCAGCCATCCAGAGAATCAAAGCATTAATTCATTAATCCAGAGTTCTGAGGCAGGGTTACTGCACCAGAAACATTAACTCTGATTTCTCTCCACAGATGGTGACAAATCTGCTGAGTTTTTCCAGCAATTTCTGTTTTTGTTTTTGTTTCTGATTTCCAGCAACTGCACTTCTTTTGCTTTTTTTAGTTAATCTATCCACCTCTGGGTTTTCAGCTACAGTTCAATTTAAAATAATGTTGGTGACGCCATTGGATAGGATAGTACCCACAGCATAACTGCACAGCAGAAGTAACACAGTCTATCAAAGGAAGGGGATAAGGGGATGAACCGTTAATATTTTTTTACTTTTGCGGCGGATTTCCATGGAATTTAAAAGAAAGCCTAAATAAACAAGACTTTAACTTTACCTGACATTGGAGGCAATGAGACATAATAACTGATGTAAAGAAAAAGTGAGTCTGAATGTCCTGTAGAAGTCACCGCCAAGTTCCACTCCCTCTGCCACCAAAATAACAGTATGGCCGCTAACCTCAAATCGTAATGGCTTGATTTCTAGATCTAAAACAACCAGATTTTGGGATTTGTGAATTGAGTATTCAACAAGTGTTCATATTTATAAATGGCTGAGGGTGTAAAAATTAACTGAATTCCTGAGGCTGGAATGGGGCAATATATAGTCTGCCTGATAAAACCACTGCAGACCCAGAAGGCAGAAATATAATTAAACAGGCTCATGTCCCATAAACACTGCAACATCCCACTCTATGTCCTTATAGTTTTAGTCAAAACCAAAGCACTTAGTGGCTTTCCAGGACATTACAAATTGAACATTAGAGCGCTATGACAGATCAGCCATGATCTTATTGAATGACAGTGCAGGCTTGATGAGCCAAATGGTCTTTGTCCGGTTCATGGTGGAAGTGGAATAGCAGTGCAGCATGCAGGGTCTTGCCTGGAGCTTATCTGCTCTGCGTGCTTTTACTTTTTCTTTCCTTCTTCCACTCTTTCTTTTTCTTACTTTAACCTTTCTTACCTTCTGTGGACTTGCATGGGACATGGGCTCTAACCATCTAGCTTAGAGCCAGTCCCCAGAGAGATGAGAATCCCTGCGACTCCCGTTTATATCTGTCAGCTAGGGTACCCTGATTGGGGTAATCAGGGAACTCATATTCAACGAGACTCACCTACCCAACCTTGTTCCAATCACTGCA